ATTGTATTCGCCTTCACGTCGTCTTTGGACCTCTACCGACATGTGGCAGTGGCATCACGGTATAACATCAACCTCCTGTCAGGGTTTGAGCAACTTGTTCTTTCCGCTTAACCAGATAACAATGCCTCGTTTTGATGTTACGAAACCTAGTAATCTGATTTTTTATGACTAGGATCCGCATAGCCCCAAGTCACCTGTGGATGAAGCACAAGATCAGTACGCGCAAAGCACTTGACTTTGCGATAGTGATTGTGCATTGACGTTCTCATCAGATGCTTCCGGATGGGTGATCGCCTACATGTCCTCAGATGTACATATCTAGCAGCCACCCTATTGCCATACTGCAGGAGCCGCCTCCTGTTTCTGTTTGCGGTTTCTTCCGACTCTGAAGGACACTTTTCATTTCACTCAAGGGGCAACGGATTCGCGACGCCACCATCCGGAGTTTACAGCCTTTCTTGGCGGATGCATTATGAAGGTGTACACACTATTTATTAAAGAAGTGCGCTCGTCACGAGGTTGACACAAGCGCTTATAAGCCGTTTGCATTCGGAATAAGGAGTCCTTGTGTGCCCAAGTTAATCTTCACCTCTTCACTTTGCCGCTGAAACACTGGAGTCGCACAGGATGAAACATCTGGGCACAAGGATCTCCGTTGCCGCCGTTCTTTGAGTCCCGCGAAACGCGCCGACACGCCTGAACAAGTTTAACCGGATCCAAAGTCGACTGTACCCCGTTCGGGCCCGCCTGAATGATGTCAGCGAAAGTTGACTACCTCATCACATACATCGTCTCAAAGTTTGCGGGTCAAGAGTAAGGCTACAGGCCACTCAACAACGACCTTATCCTCCAGGCGAACTTGTGTCCCAGGAGTCTGCTCCAACGCGCCTACCCGCAAATCCCTCCAAAAGCGAACGGCAATGTCCCCACCTCTAAATTCGTCTATGCCCAAGAGCCACCTAAGCAACCAAGGAATCGAAACTTAGGACAAGCGACTCACCAGAATCTTGCGAATCAATCAAGTCTTCGCCAAGGAGCCTCTTGTCTTCCTCAGCATCCAGGTCTTCCGGAAATTGTTCGTGGTAAGTGTGCAGTGCGCTCGCTGATCGGAAGTACCCCAGGAGGTCGCGCCATCTCATTTCGGAGCGCATTATGATTGGATGTTTTTCCGCATTCTCAGGCTTGAAAGGTGGACCTTCTTTGCCTAGACGCGTGATGTCAGCTCCGATGTAGTCTCGGTATATGAACGGTATCCTGGGCACTGACCGCAGAAAAAAGTTCGGTGGAGTGGCTCCAGTGCGCCATCCTTCAGGATCTTTGACGGGTCTGGGACATCTACCAAGTACCGCTCAAGGATCGTCCGCCCAGGTCGGGAGAAATGGGGACCAATACTCGTAACTGGGTCTTGTCCTTGGAAAAATTGGGTAATCAAAGGTGTCAAGCCTGGGTGATCGGTAAGGCGGATTTCGGTATAGACCTGCATTAGTGAAGCTTGATTAAGAAGGATTCGCTCGAGGTGGGCAGAGGAAACGGACCCAGAAGGCGGCAGTCCCTCCTGGACGTAGGACGCGATTTACTTCAGGCCAGACCTTCTTCCAATCGAACCAGTGGGCCGCCTGCGCTATAGTGAGGCATTAGTTTCGGAAATGATTCCAAACTTCCAGGAGAGAAAATGCAGTACAGGTAAGCTTTGCGGCGGGGTACAGGGGCGTTAGGCTTTCGGTTGTGGTTTATAAGGTCGTACCTGCAATAAGAAGGTCTACACTTCCAGCCTCTGGAATCGCTTTACTCAAATCTTCTGCACTGCCTTGCACAAATTTAAATGCTGGGATATTTGTTTCCGTATGTGCGCCTCTCGAAAGAGACGAAGATGGAGGCTTGGAATTAGCGGAGGGAAACAAGCCTTCGGTATAGGCCCGCGCTTTATCGAGCATGCCAGGGGAAGGGTCGACTCCAAGCACTTCCTGAAACGGTCGCAATTCAACAGTCGCCTGGCCTAAAGAGGCTCGTCAGTATCCAGCAGAACACTTGAAGTTCTATACGGACCAGTTCCACATCCCAAGTCAACTGCTCTTTCCCAGCGCGCTTTGGATCCCCCTCGGTGGAAAGAGAATATGTATTCGAAGAGCTGTTGTGGATATCTTGGACGTGAAGCCGAGTATGTAGATGCGTTGAAAGTCGACTTGGCGAAGACCGACATACTTGGTGTTCAGAATGACTGGTATGGTGGTAAGTGCCTTGTAGCAGAGCCAAGGGGCATCCATCGCATCCAGGTCCGCTATTCCGAGGTGGTCGTGAGATAGTGATGCCATCGTCCATGCTGTGACCTATCTATATCCTCGTTATAATCCTGGTTTCATGAGTTTATCTGAGATGGTTCTGAACATACCTGAGGATATGACCTCAAGCCCAGCCCAGAAGGTGGACAGCCGAAATCTGAGGTCTGACAACGTAAAGGTTTCTAAAACTCCCAGCTCCGCGTTGAAGTCAAAGCGATCGGATGTGCCTTCCATGTGTAAGGTACCTATACTTTTCGTGCAGTGTAGCGCCAATTTGAATGTCGTCAAGAACAACGTCAACGCCAGTGGAGGCTGTTCTTAGTACGAGGCTAACCCGTATTCTTGCCCGTATTGATATTATATTGATGTCCATAAAATCCTGTACACAATTCACCAAATAGGCAATCAGGAAGCTAACCGACCTTTCCAAGACCTTCCCGCTGTCGCCATCATTCATTCCGCCTCTATTGTCTTGCACTCGTGTAGGCTCATGTGCGGCTGGCTAGACCTGTTATGCTTTTGGGCCCAACAATAACGACGTCCATTTTCGTCCGGACTTGCACCTTATCTGGGTTCCGTCGTGACATACAGACAATAAGGAAACATGGGAAGGCAAGTCCGGCTGAGAAACGTGGAAGTCTCGACCAGGTGATCATGGTATCTTTCGCTGCTTTTTGTTCTGGTGGAGTATGTATACGGGTATCCTCGAGGGCTTGGAATGCATCTTATCGTCTGGAGCTCCCCGAGTTCCAACAATCAGCTTCTGGGTGCCCACTCCAACCCGGACCTTCTGCGCCATATTACCCCACCTCTCGGCCGCATACTTAACTGGCTTGTCTGGTCGTCTGCCTAGCGCATCATCATGTCGTCCCTTTCTTTCAAAGTCGTCTTTCCAGCCCCACCACCGACGACCAACGAGTTGACCGCTTCACAACGTACTCAACTCGTACGAAAGACGAAAAAGATCGAACAGATCTTTGGCACCACCCCCCATCTTGTGGAAGCTGGGCTCGAAGCCGGTAAGTCCCCCACACTGCGGTATCCGTTACATTGTGCTGACCGATCATGATCACAGCTTCGTTCCACATATCCCTTACGCACGGCCGCGACCTCTCTCAAGGTCGATTGACCAAGACCCGTCGAGAATCTGTTGATTCAGTATCCTCGGCGTCTTCCTATGGATCGCCCATCTCTCCCATTCAACGTTCAGCGTCCGTCTCCTCCAAATCGAGCTCAGTCCGCAGCACCAGCTCTCGAAGATCGCGTGCATCAGTTGCCTCAGTAGAGTCGACAGAATCATGGCCAAGTGACATGAAGGCCCCACTGCTCCGACTAGCCAAGAAGAGGCCGGTCCTCGAGACGATTCCAGCCTCTCCATCCCCCACCAGCACCACTTTCACCGACTCCGCGCTGGATTCTCGCCGCAGTGCCATCAACAACGACTGCCACTTCACCACATTCACCATCTCCCCGAACGAGGATCCTTCTTCCCCAAGAAGTTCCGTCGTTCTCACCTCATTCAACATCCCGTCAACCAACAGTCTGCGCAAGCAGAAGATGGATAGGCTTCGGAAAAAACTGGGCCAAGATGTACCCCTCGATCTCGTTTTCCCCGAAGTCGCAGATTCTGCGCAACCCGACAATATCCCGTCCCCATCCCCCTCACCCGCGTCGGACCGCAACAAGGAATGCCCCCCTCTTCCCCCACCTACTCCTCGTGCCAAGAAGCTCATGGGGCGTATCTCCGCTACGCGTGACTCGATAGCAGAGTCCACCTCTATCCATCGCGCGAAACGCCAAACACCTGCGAAACCGACCGTGGCGCATAAGAAGTCGCGCTCTGTGCCTACGCTACCTCCCACTCCTAATCCGGACTACAAACGACTGAAGGAAAAGCTTTCTTTCATCATCGAGTGCCCGGATGAGCACGGCTCGGGATGTTCAGAGGAGTTTGGACTGTCTCGTGCGACTAGCGATAGATCGGATACTAGTTCTGATGAGAGTGAAGTCAGGCTCTGGAGTACCAGGAGAGGATATGGAGGTTGGGAGGGATCTAGGTCGCCTTCTTCTGCGTCATCCAATACATCCAGCGATCGTGCGGTATCTCCCACATCACCCGCATCCCCTGCCACTGGTGTGTCGAGACGGCCATCCAGCTACCGCAAACCTGCACCAGCTATCTGCTAATCAGCTCCCGTTTAACTCTGCGCGACAACTACCAATCTGCCACATGAGCGTTAGGCTCAATGCCCGATTCTTCAGTCACCTCTACACTACGCACCAAGTTTTAATCTCGCAGTGTTTCGGGAAACTCTGTTCTTGTACTCATATGTTTTCGTGCTTTGCCATTCGTTGAGTAGCTTCCGTGATCCATGCTGTACAAACCTCAGAGTCTTGTCTACTACGAAAGAGCGTACGAAATAATTGCAATCATGTCTTGGAGAACGATTTTAAAAAGAAAGCCCGAAACATCATTTCGGCACCCACAAAGCCACGAGATCTGGATATCGCTTGGGGACACAAAACACATGGCCGTGTGGCGAAATGGCATCGCGTCTGACTACGACTCAACGCGACATCAGGAGATTGCAGGTTCGACCCCTGTCTCGGTCAATCTTTTTGTCCAGCGCTAACCTTGGCTTGCTTGAGCTTGGCAATAATCTTTTCTGGCTATAAGCTATTCCCGACCTCCAGGGCCTGATGGAATAAGCGCCCTTCACAGGCCGTGTGGCGAAATGGCATCGCGTCTGACTACGATTCTTTGGAAACGCGATCAGGAGATTGCAGGTTCGACCCCTGTCTCGGTCATGTTATTTTTGCGCTGCAGAGCTTCGGAGTCGGGCAGCAGAGCGCAGAACACAATACTGACTGGGATCATAATGCACATTCGGACTCCGGAAATACAACATGATTAACGATTAAAAACATACAACACTATAACAAACGTAACAAAGCAGAAACTCTATAAATTACATCCAACCCTTTCATCGTCACAGCGGCCCATAAAACCCAAACATCCTTCCAATGGCATCTTGCACGCCCTCCACCCTCCCAATATCGTGCCCACCCCTTTCCGTCCTCAGCAGCGCCACCGTCCCGCCATCCCGGCGTTGCATCTTTTCGTAGACGCCATATCCCTCAATACGCGTGGTGGACACCAGTTCGGCGCGTTTCGACGCACGGAGGGTGTCGTGCAGGGTGTAATTGTCCCAGTCGGTGTGGGAGAGGGGGTTCTCGGGTATGGATGGGTATGCGGGTAGGTGCGGCTCGAGGAAGGCGTCGAAGAGGATGGAGGAGTGGGATGAGGGTATGTCGAAGTCGTCGTCTGGCAATATGGGTGGTGACGGTGAGCGGAGGGTGGGTAGATGGGAGGGAGGGCTTACCTGCGTGAGCGATTAGAACGGATGATTTGATGTCCTATATTTGGAGCAGAGTTAGTGGGACTCGGGGTAGCTAGTGGCTCGCGACGAACGGGTACGAGTGTGAGGGTATCGAATTTATGCACTAATGACCAAGTGATCAAACCTAAATGAATCATAAATCATTTAGTCAAAGAGATGGTTTCTTTGGTGATGGAGAGACGCACGGGGAGCAAGGGGTATCGCAGACAGCGGCTTGAGCAGCGGCAGAAAGCCGAATAGGTAGTACTGATCCATAAGCTGTCTAATTGACGAGAACGGCTACGAATAAATCAATTGTCAGACCTTCGACATGGACCAGCGTAACGAAGCATACGCACCGACATCAGCACCGTTCCCCGCGGGTGAATCCCTTCCCTGCCTAGCTCAGCAGCCAACAACCCCGCGATAGCCGTCCCAAGACTATGTCCCAAAATCAACACTTCCTCCGGCCTTGCCCCCTGGCTCATCAAATAATCCCATCCCGCCCTCGCATCCATCGACACCCCCCGCACCGACGGGTGCCCCTCGCTGTCGCCAAACCCGCGATAATCAATCGCCAGCACATTCGCGCTCAGGCGCGACGTGAAGGCCGTATACAGCACAGTGCGCAACGGATGTGCTCGCGTGCCGGTATTTCCATGCAGGAACAGGATGGTGGGGTTGTGCTGCAGCGCCGCGGCCACATGTTCGCGGTTGGGGAAGGTGAATTCGGGGTTCGGGGGCGGTGGGTAGGGGAGGTGGGTGCGGTAGAATGGGTCGGAGAAGATGAACCAGGCACCGAGGGAGGTGTTGTCGGCGCTTGTGAGCTGCAGATTCACGGTTTTCCCGGCTGTGGGGAAATGCTTCCGTTAGGGGCATCACACGTGGTGGTGGTTCTTATTGTGCTCACGAGCTAAGCCGTAGTTCTCTGGGTGGTTGAACTTGTTGTACCACCAGAAATCGATATGTTGCGCGTAAAGAACACTAGATTAAAGACGTGTTGTTAATACTTTGATTTCCAGCGATTCAAAGCCACGCAACCGGGTTTGGATGAAAGGCGTCATGGTAAGAACGACCGCCAGGCCATAGAGAGCGGCCAGGGTGATGAGCACACCGCGAGCTCGGGTATACAGGCGTGAACTGGGTTTGATTCTGTCCTTGGACATGGCGGTAACTGAGAAAGGCTGCTTGAGGTTTGGTGGCACATAAAGGCAACACCGTTTCATGTTTATCGAAAATCTACTCAGATCTTGATGATCCGGATCCGAACCCGAGTACTGACATGGACCCTACCAAAATCTTGGCACCTTATCTCAGGGAAGAGAATTTAAGGAAAAATACGCTCGTTATGTATGAGATGTTGACCACAAAAGACGGTCATTGTCCATGAGAAAGGCTGGCGGCAAAAAACTGACCGAGACAGGGGTCGAACCTGCAATCTCCTGATGTCGCGCAAGTCGTAGTCAGACGCGATGCCATTTCGCCACACGGCCCATATCCAACGTGCGCCATGTGCATATAAGAGCCGCGGATCCACAATCAGTAGATCATCAGGACTAGCCGGGAGGATGACGTCGTGTAACAGCATTTTCAAGTTCGTCCTTGATTCTTCCTTGGTTCTTCCCCTCCGCACCAAAATGCAGGCTTTCAAGTTGCTTCCAAATGCTAATATGCTTCGCAAGATCTTGCTCTGGCCTTACGTTGACGAAAATGCTTATATGCATGGGGCATTCAGAATACTGGCAGGCCAAGAGACAACTCACGAACGACTTTTGGATAATATGCACCGAGTCTCAAGGCATGTACACTGGTAGCAAAACATTCAAATGCTGTGCTACGTGCCCACCTACCGCTGCCAATAACTTTCTTCTGCACAGGGTCTTGTCGTGTTGCCTGTCTTTCAAATCAGTTGGTCCTTCGACGACTTACTGTGGACCTGTACTTTCGAGGGCTTGTTGTGTGCTGGACCCTTCACTTGCTGTATTCCTCTGCTGTTCACTTTGCAGTCTCATAAAAGTTATCGCAATCTTTCCAATTGGTATCTGGGTTCTTGGACTTGAAACACGCTCTGGAACGTGGCAGTGCACCGGTTTACGCGAATCTTGACATACATCCCCAGAATGTTTCCATGTAGCAAGTCCTGACAATCCTCCACGACTTTCCCTTGTGGGTGGCTATGTAGGCAGCGTCGTGGACTCGAATTGATGATGGAGGGAGAACGAGATGGAGGGAAACAAGAAGCTGCCATGTACGTGGCAACTTCTTGAGGAGGAAGGTTGGTTGACCCCCACATCCACTTTGCACATCCGTCATTTATCATTCGATTTTCTTGACAGGTGCCATGGATTATGATTTCGGACCCAGGCTGCATTGGCATAACACATACATAGGTATGTGCCTGGGCCTGTGGCCTGAGTGCAGAGCACTTGACGTTCTTTACACTTGGGCATACTTAGACTCGCTTCATTGTAAGAGACAGGCACACAACGTCGGGCCCAACATCAAACTATCATCGACTCACCGCTCACAGGTTAACTTTCTAGAACACAAGCAGGCACAAAAGTAGTCGGCGAAGCCAAAGACCGAAGTCGAATGCGGTATTCCATTTATACCATCTTGTCCTGACTCCATGCCGCCTGTTGGATTGTACCTCTGCAAAGCCTTTTGAGATCCCACAGCCTAGACGGAGGCCAATGGAGTGCCTTATTCTACTCCAAGATATCCGCGTTGGATGTCCAGAGAATGTATAAAGGCATTGGTATCGATAGGACCTCATCTGAACAACACTATCCAGTTCTCGAATCGAATATCACAATGGCGTGGCCACCACTCGAAGCGCAAGACATTATTGACATCAATGCAGTATACGTCAACCTTGCCCATCCATTGTACGAACCGATCTATCCTGCTCGTAACATCCTACCCAACAACTATAACTTCGACTCTGGATTGCACAACCAATATCTTCCAACCACACTCTTTGAATTCCATCCCGCAGAATATATTCGCTATTGGTTGGTTGACTACTGGAGCCCGGGCAACGGTGCCAATGTGCCACCAGGACGAGGCAATCAGCTCCATGCCCAGTATGTACTGGCTAACCCGGGTGCTCCCGCCCCTCAATTGTTACCGGCACTGCTGAACGCCATGGCCGTTCCAGTGAGAGGGCCGCCCAATGGGGCTCTTCACGTCGCGTCAGAAGCAGATGTTATCCGCGGGATCCACCAATCTTTTACTGGCTGGGTCGAAGGCAGAATCAACGCCTACTACGCACAGTATGGAATTGACGTTTTTTCCCAGGCCGAGGTCACCGCTGGCCAAGGCCGTGTTGACCTGATCTGGTCTGTGACCTGGCAGAACGCAGGCGCATTTCCGCAGACCAACAGTGTCCTCGTGACGGAGTTCAAGCAACCCGGTGCTGTCAACAAAGCCAACGCACCAGGTGGCGCGAACAACTTTGAGTCAATCCGGTACCAGCCTCAGGCGGCCCACCCTCAATACAAGTACCCTGCGTGGCGGGCATGGAAGGCAGCTCCCAATGCTTTAACGAACCCTCGGTTCTATCAGGCCTTGGGAGACAAGTATGATCCCCAACTCTGCCAGTTTGTCACAGAAAACTGATCACATAGCGATCTAGTCTGAACAATCAATCGTTGCACAATAACAACAACGCTTGTGGCTCTACCTTGAGACAACTTGGGTACTACTTTGGGCAGCTCCCAACAGTCCAGAGGATGCTTGTCTTTGATTATAGGAAGATGGCATTGTTTGAGACGTCGAGGGCACATGCGGCGCCAAACATGTTAATGGGGAAGGGATTCTCGTTCATGGAGGATGAGAATAATGGGGTGACGTTTGCGATGTTTATGATGGCGGCCTTGGTCGCTGCGGTGGAGGAACTTATTCATCCCTGAGAACGGTGTGCTCTGCGGAGATGGAGGTATGATCCCGGTGGGCAAGGCATAGCCGTAGATCTGAACAACTGTATAAATGAATCATTTTCACTGCATTACAGGCCATCAGCATCGACTTGCAATGCTCGCACAATGTACACTGTTGGAAGCTCTGCCATGAGTCGTTAAGATGACTTTTCTAGTTTCCATTCATTCCAAGTGCATTCCCTTCGCTTCTTCCAAACTTGCCATGATCTTTGAACTCCCGAAAGTAAAGAATTATCGCCAAAATACCGACTTGACTTTCACGCGTCATTGCTTGAACTTCTTTCTTTAGTTGAACTCGGATTTCAGTGAGATTACTTGCAATGTGACCATGTAAAAGATTTGATTCTAAGCATTTTCATTTGTGTTCAATATGGGAACCTGTACATGATGATCTGGTTGACGTCTATGCCGTGTAATTATCCTTTTTGACAGTGAATCTTACCCCAGATATCGTCCTTCGGTCGTTCTGTAATATTTTCGGCATTTG